GGACAATGAGTGGAGTAAGTCTCTTTCCCACTGTTTGCAAACCAAGTCAATTTTGGAAACGTCAAAGACACATGCCTGTGTTACATTCTCAGGTTGAACCTTGTTGAACTGCTAGATTTCAATTTTATTAATTTACCTCAGAACCTGAAAGTCTTAAAAGGTTTCAGCAGATTTGGTCAGGAGCACGACCACCAAGCTAGGTGATTAATATTCTTTTTTACCTGAATACAGAATATGCTGATTTACACAGCAGAGCACCCAAAACAGTAACTCTGACCTTTTAATAATGGGCATGACTATTCATTTTGTCTGCACCTCCCCCACAGAGACACAAGGTAGAAGCAAGTTTTCAGAGACGCCAACTAAACACTGAAATCAACCCTCCTTGCGAAAGGCCTGTCTTCACTTTCTCTCAGTGTTTTGTTTTGGATAAGCAGTTCTCCTCAGCTGAAGCATCAAGTGATGTTGTTCTTGATTCAGTGACAGTACCATGATTAAGCAGCAGGTGGGGACAAAACATGTCCGAAGCAAGAAGAACACTGTGACAGAGGACTTAAATTTCTGTGTTAAATCTACCCTGTAGGTACACGTTACACCTTAACCTGACGTGTACGTCCCTGGAAATTCACACCGATGCAGTCTGCAGCCGACTGGCTCGTTCAGTGCCACGCACCAGGTTTCAAACAGATCAGTGAGAGCATAACAATTATTACCTCGATGTAAGTTATGATGATCAGCAATATAATGACACACATTTGTAACAAATGGATGGAGATCGCCTTTCTCGACTTATAAAATAGGGGCCCAAACATCAGATAACATACACCAAATACAATCCCAACATACATTATCATACCAAAGCAAGTCACTAAAAAATATCCAAAAATTACCTAAACAATCCTAACATATAAATAACGCTAATCCAATCTAGACATTGTCACACAACAATAATGGTAAAATACATAAAATATGCTGGCAGCACGGTGCAGAAAGAAGGTCCCGAGTTCGACTCCACCATCTGGGAGTACGGTGGAATTTCTGCGTGAAGTTCCTCCCACAGTGCAAAGAGATGCAATTATTGAGGTTAGGTTAATTCAGTGGTTCCCAAACTTTTTTTGCCAGGCACCCCTTTGTTTTACAAGAAAAATGTTTGCCCCCCCAAACACATCCTTTAACCACACACACATATAGTTTGCTCCATTGCGGTTTATTTCACACCTTAAACATTTAGAAAACAATTAACTAAATACAAGTAATCTGCAATAAATTACAGGTAGTAAGAAAATAAACTACTAACTCTTTTACGCTACGTCCACACCTACACGGGTATTTTTGAAAACGCAGCTGTTTCTGTGTTTGGACCTTTCGTCCACATGTAAACGGCGTTTCGAATCACCGAAAACTGAGATTATTTAAAACTCCTTTTTTGGGTTTACATGTGGACGAGGAATACAGAGTTGGTCACGCAATGTCAAAGGTATGTGCCTTTTTTCACGTCACGCTGTGCGCCACGTTATTGTTTACATGAGATGAATTGCAGACTGGCAGATATTCAGATTAACAGTATTTTGTCTCTATCTGCAGGTTTACACATATACACACGCAGTTAATGTCCCTTTATTTACAAAGGCAGAGGCGTCACGGTGTGATTATTTTACGTGTAGTTGTTTTTTTTCCTGTGTAATAAATTTCAACATTGCTATCAATACATTTTTCAAAAAATGCCTCTCTGTGCAAAATGGGTTTAAAAACATAAACAGCTGTGGGATACTGTTTGTCCGTGATTTGAACAGGGGGAACAAATTGTGGCAGGATCAGCCTGATATTATTTGTATCCCACTGTAACTTTACTGTATAAAGAGCTAACATCTCCAAAATGTTATGAGTAGTTAGTCATTACAAGAAGTGTTTGTGAACTAAAAATCAAGAATGTGGGATACTGTTTGTGATTTGAAGAACCCAGCACATGCTCCAGACAAAGGGAAAACCAATTATGCAGGGGAGACCTACCTTGGCACTTGTGCAGGTGAAGCCAAAGGGAAGATTTGCTTCACCAGATTTTCTAGTCTTTGGCTTAGAATGAAGTTGGTTTGGAAACATATTGAGCTATGCTTCATCTCCTGCTTTGCATTTGTGTGGGCGCCCCGTCAAAAAGCTGTCCATTATGCTAGCAGTGTCCAAGCGGGTATTTTTTGTTTTTTTTTTCCTTTTCATACCGTGCCCCCCCCTGCAATGGCTCTGCACCCCCCTAGGGGGCAGGCCCCACACTTTGGGAAGGTCTGGGTTAATTGATGATTCTATAGGTGTGAATGACAGCTGGGATACACTCTAGCACCCTGATAAGCAGAAGAGAATGGATGGATGCCGGCGACCAAGACTTGCACGAAAAGACAGACTGGGACATGACAACAAGCTAATTAACACCAATCACAAGCTTTAATGTGGCAATGAGACTATTATGTAACATAGGTTGCATCTTAGGCTCTATAACGATTTAGTCTAAATCAGCATTGACCTGCAGGACTCACCTGAAGAGGTCCACTTCATGAATTGTTGGGAGCACAATGGACACCATGCTATCACTCTAAAACACAAAAACACACTTTCAGCTTTAATATTCACATAATGCTCAGTGTGTCATCAGACATCATACAAACAGACACTGAGTGTTTGTGCGCACGCGAGTGTAAGATCACCTGGGCGGATTGGACCAGCTGTGACGTTCCTGGTTTATCATAGGAGGTTGGGATGCGAACCTGCAGCACATAGCACAGATTTTCATCAGAGAAACAATGATAGACAACCACATTTGTAATTAGTGACGGCCTTTTCTAATTCTGTTTAGCTCCTTCTTACTAGTATTATCCACAGGCATATGAAAGAGTTTGTCCTGAAAAGAGGATCATGCAACTCTTAAATGGCTGAAGTCATGAAAGAGTGCATCTTTAGCAGCAGTTGGGAACATCATCTCAAAGATAGGAGCAAACCTCACTCCACATTATGTTTAGTGCAATCGTAAATTCATGAACTGAATCATCTGTAAACTTTGGAAACTTCTCTTTTTGGACTGGAAAAAATCTTTTTGCTTTGAAGTTTGTTTGAACTTTTACACAAACTATTTTTAGTTTCTTGTTTGCAGTTATTTTTTTGTTTAAATACTACTAGCACTTTAATTTGTATTACTTAAATAATATTATTTATTTCATTTTTACTCTGTCATATTGAGAAATGTTAGAAATACATTTGATTATTTTCAAATTCATATGCTTCCTGGGTTTTTATTTTAATTTGCTGTGGGACGAGACAACAGGGTGATGGAGCATAGAACAGAAGGTCTGCCCACAGGAAGCGGAGATAAGAGTTACTGAAATAGTCGTTGTCTAATCGAGTAATTGAAGAAAATCTTTAGTTACAACCCTACCCTAGACTTACAACATTCGTCCTTACAATAATCAAACTCGTTTCATAGTTTTACGAGCATGTCTGGAGTCATTGTAGCCACTGCTGTTGTTATGCTCCCTACCAGCAACCACGTAAAATTCAAAGACCCACTCTAATAACACGTTTTGATCATTAACAGTGAACGACTGCTGAATTAAAGCACTTTGAAATCAGATTTTTATTTTATTTTTTCTTAAATACAAATGTATTAAAACACTCATTAAAGTGATAAACTTAACTAAACCAAACCTTCAGTCCCAGAACTGTACCAATTTGTACTCTTTAAAACAAAATAAAAGACATGAAGGACACAGAAGTAGTGAACCAACTTCATAACATTGAAAACATTGAAGTTACCTCACTAAGCCCCTAAATGCTGCTTTAAAGTACAGGTTACTGCTGACTGCGAAGCATTCTTGTTCTACCTGAACAAGACTGCCTGATTAAACAAATATTTGCCTATCGTGGGAAATTGAATCGAGCCATCTTTAAACTTATTAATTAGACCTGTTCTTTACCTGTCACGACATGTCAAAACTAAACATCTACTGGTTTCAACTTAGTGCGTGAGTGTACCTTGAGGACTACACCCATGATAGGCAGCGTCAGGATTCGTCCAGGATGAGGCGTTGGCCAGCGATCGATGTCATTACAAGCTATCAAACACAACAACAATTTTGAATTAAAAAGGATCTTCTCTGAAAACAGAAAAAGGATTTATTTAAGTATACAGAAATAATTGGCTGCCTCTCTGATGTTCTTCATCTTCTGTGGCAAGACAAGTTCACAATCATGGAGACTGGTCAGCAGCTACAGTCACTGCTTTCTGACTTGGCAAACCACTTGTGATTTACAATTCCTTAGTCAATGTGCAATCAAACTTTCAAAATAAGGGGATCATCCCTTACCAAATTAAAGATGGCATCATTGCCTTATACTGGTCGGTATTAATCTATAATCAACTAGAATCTACAATCCTTATAAATAGTTTCCAATTAGACATGGGTAAAACAGTGGGTTGGCCGACCCTCCAAGGCTGCACCTGAGAGGTGGGAGTGCCCAACAGGACAACCCCTCTTTTAGTCCACACTGTCTCCACTTATAGTTCATATACTCTGGTCCGAATCAGCTGATGAGTTTGTAAACTTAGTTTAGAACTTTTTTCACATTGTTTGGTTTGGTGTGGTTTTTTCACATAAGGAACTCCAAGCAAGCCAAAATGCATCACTACAAACCATGTGAGTCTATGGGCTCAAATTGTGGTCATAAATATTTTGTACTTGTAAATCAGGATTTGTATGTGTAAAAAGAATTTGTGTGAGTGTAAAACAGATTTGTGTGTGGACTTAAAATAGGTGTGAAACTGCACTCAAGTTTCAAGTTACAAGTACGAATTTTGACCCCGTTTTCCTTTCATCTGATTGTGATTGACACGACATTGGCCAAATTTAACTATCCAAACAGAGAACAGATGGGTTTGGCTGTCGGAGGAGCGCTTTTTTGAACTGCAGGTCCTTGAAGGGTAATACAGTTTGAAGCTGGAGGATCTCTATGTAAATATCCGATAGAAGCTAGGTCCCCTAACTTTCAGTAGCTGTTGAAAGGATAAAGTTGTGGTATATCAGTGGTTAGAAATACCATTATTACTTTAGGATTAGTTTAACACAAAGTCAGGGCTTGCCTGGGACCATGGCTGTGAGTCACAGTGTGCAGCATAAAGGTACTTTCACATCAGACGCAGCATGTGCTGCTAATGCTAACTGCTAACTAAAAGCAAAGGATCCAGAATTTGTTGCACTGGCTGCTGGGCTCTGTGGGTTTTTGCAGCAGCTCTACCTGTACTAGATGCACCTGCTCATTGTCGTTTCTATCTCTGACTTTATGTCCTCTTCAAGAGTTTCTGGTTTTTTTGCTGGTTCTTCAAATATTCAATAAAAACATGTATGCTCATTAATAACGAAGAAAGCTTTGTAATTATCCCCACTAGTGAAGACTGTCATTTCCACAATACTGCCCCCCGGTCCGCAGCGCTGTTGGAAAGGCCCTGGAGGTCCCTGTATTAAGCACATAAACCTGTGACACAAAAATCACCAAACTGAGACCACCACAGACTGTTTTCCTTCGTG